CCCCAAAACCCCAAAACCCCAAAACCCCAAAACCCCAGCTATCAAAATAAAATAAGATTATATATAAATTGATTTTATTTTTAATAGATAAGCTTAATAGTAAAAGTTAAGACTATGTATTAGCCAAGTGCATCAAACTATCAATTTTTAACATTAATATTTCTTTTATCAAAAAAATGGTTCTTGGATGCTTCAGATTATATATTTGATCCTTTTATTGATATACTCGTACTTGGAGTTATAGTAGTGCCCTAATTGCTTTTCATGGGTCCTGAGAGAGTACTAGCAGCTCTCATTCTCACTGGTGGTTTATTTTAAGCACTCATACCTGTAAATCTTGCACTAGGGCCATCTTCGTCAGTGTCTAAAGACGTTATTTTAATCAAATGATCAATTCCAGCGTTATGATCATTATTTTTTTTACCATTTTGATTGATATTTAAATTAGACTATGAAGAGTTGTTATAGCGATTGTCATTTGTCATGAAAAATTAGTTGTTATTTGGTCCACCATGAATTTATGATAGTGTTCTTTTATTTTTCAAGGAGTATTATTGATACTGATGGTTTTAAATTATTTAAACTTATGGACTATTTGGTTAGATTGGATTCTACATGGATTAGGCGAGCTATAAAATTGATAAGATTTGAGAAAATAATAAACTTACTATTTGCTTAGTTGGAGTTATCAGACTTTAAGTGCTTTGGCTATTTAACATTTTAGGTGCTAGGATTATGGATTATCTTTTGTTAAAATCGATATTCATAGTTTATTTAATAGAGCGCATACTTCCACCCTAACCTTAATCCTACTACTATTTAATTCTCTAAGGAAATAGTACTTTGTTTACATACTACAGCTGTGGTGTTTCAATCATTTATGGGACGAAACGGCTAGTATTTTGATTTGTTAGGTTAGTATGAATATTTGTTAGTTCTTGCTTTTCACGCTCCATTTCTTCATTTAGACGTTACTTAGCATCCTAAAGCTGCTGAAGCTCTTTCCTTAGGAAGAAGACTTAGAGCTTACGCTTTGTTCTATTATCTGCAAAGTCTATCTAATTTTTAAAATCACGTTGAAGAAAAACATTCATTGATCCCTTTTCTATTTTTGAATTGAAATGCTTGCGCTCATAGTTTCTAGCATTCTTTATCTTTTAGTAGCGTTCTAGAATAAAATTCAAACGTTTTTGACAGAATTCTCCGAGAGATGGAAGAAGACGCTTAAATTCTCTCTTCAAGTCATTGTAGGTAATGTATACCATTGTAACAGGGGTTATTGATTTTATAGTATAAGTACTCTCTGAATCAAAGATCAATGACTCCTCTCCAAATATACCACAAGTTTCAATATTCATTATCTTTTCTTGTTTTATTTTAGGCATTCCAAGCATATCTTTCAATTCAATCGTTTTATACATGGCGCACATGCCTTCTTTTATGATGTAAAGTCTATCACTCTTTTATCCCTCCTTTATAATTTCCTTTCCTCGGAGATGCTTCTCATGCTTAAAGTTAATCTTGACTGTTTTAACAACTTTTTTGAATTAGAATAAATCTCTGATCTTAGGAACAGAATCAAATATAAACTATGTCAATACTTCATTTTCCTTTTTTTCTCTTTCCTTTATGATGTAATTAATTATAGAATAATAAAATTACCTTCACAAGAACATCAAAAGCTTCTCTGTTTAGAAGCAAAAATATGCTATCATTCTTTGCCATCCCTATATACATAGTTATTTCATTATAGTATCTTACCTGAAAGGGCTCTCACTCCATTTTTATCCATCATAGCTACTTCACCTATCATAATACCAACTCCTAATTCAACAACTTTAAATTCTTCCTCTACTGTTACAAAATTATCTTTATAAATCTTTCTTCTTCTATTTGCCAATAACTCCTTTTCTTTTTACTCCTCTTGGTATTTCTTTAGAGCTTCTGGATTTAGGGTTGAAACATTGACAGACTCCTTCTTTTGAACTTCGATCATGGGACTTTGAGGCTCTTAGCCAATTATATAGGTCGATGATTTGACATTGAGACATATAACACTTCCATATAAAATGACATATGCATAATCTGGCTTATCATTCTTTCTAAATAGATACTCACCTCTCTCCATAAATCTGATTTCAAAGCAATCGATTAACTAAATTGGAAATTGTTAAAGAGATGCTAAAGTTTTACCTTCTTTGTAAGATTTTTATTCAAGTGATCAAATCTACCTTCAAATTACGGAAGTTGCTTTAGGTAATTTACAATTTCCATTTGATCTGCTTCACTTGGATTTTATTGAGTAATTTTATCAGCAATAGCACAAACCTTCTTGAATAATTCATCATTTTCATACTATAAGAGAAATTAATACTCAAATTATTTACATCCTTGAATGGGTTATCTTCCTCATCATCATCCTCCTAAATGGTTTCATTCTTATTGTACCTAGATGACTCCTCATCGCTATCTTTCTCTGAAAGTTCTTCAATTGTAAGGGCTCCCCCCAAACTTTTGTGCTTATTATTACCATTATCAGACCCTGTTTTAATTTAAGTGACCATGACGCTTTATCTACCTGCAGAATTATTTGCATTATTTTTAATTTGAGTGAGAGAATTTCTTCCACTAGCCTATTGTGCAAGGTTCGTTAATGGAGAATCTATTTGAATCGACATGCTCTTTCTTGGGGCTGGTTTAGTTGAAGAAATTCCTATAACTTAACTTTATCTTTTCTAGGTCATTTGCCTTTTCAATGTTAGTTTTGGTTGCTTTTTAGCTGTCTTAGATTTTTCTTCTTCATTTTAAGGGGGAGGGTTTTCATCAGGGTTTTATTCCTAGGTTGAGCCAATTGATGGGGCTGTTTGAAGATCTTTATTGTTACTTTTGTTTGATATCATTTGTGTTTTTGCTTTTTAACGGTTCATCCTTGAAGCGCTATTGGAGCCTGATTTCCTAGCGCTCTTTATGTTAGTACTCTTATTAAGATCTGCATTGTCCTCATCAGACATACTGTTCGATCTCGAGACAAAAGGTGATGCTGTTTTCTAGGAGCTTGAACTCATAATTTAATAATGAAAGAATAAAATGCAATAATTAAAAAATTTAGTTCTACTACTTTTCACTGTTTTAATGATAATTTGATGTTCATAAAATTAAAATTAAATTTTAAACAACTATGTCTTCGAAATCAAGTAATTCATTGGATAAAGTTCCAGTGAAGCAATCAAGGAAAAGCTCTAAAGCTCCTTCACATAAAACTAATAAGAGCTAACTACAAGTTGAATAAGATAAATAGAATTCAACAATTAATTAGTCATTAAGGAAAGAAATAGACAATCTTGTAAATTAAAGTAGTTTACTACTTGGCTCAATCAACTAAGGTATTGTTAACAATAATCAAAGTATAGTCAAAGAAGGCCCTCGCTATTAATAATCAATAAATAAACTTCAGAATGTAAATCTTGAACTTGATGAAATGCTGAAAATGAGCGGAGCACTAGCGAATAAATTTTCAAAGAGAGATAACAAAGTATAAGTAGTGTAAAATTATAAAACCGGGGAGTTACTGTCTCAAATCGATAAAGCTCTTGTTAATTTCGATAAGATGTAAGATGCTAAGAGTGTACAAGCTTCATTCATTAATCCTTACATTGGCAATAAACTAATGAAGTCTGGAGTTAGCTCAGTAGTTCGAGGAGTCCCAAGTGACAATCCATTAAGCAATGAAGTTAGAATGATAATGAAACATGAGGGAATATAAACTGATCAGAAAGAAAACTATATAAATTTGCATTAAGCATAATAAAATCTATAAAGAGCGAAGAGTCTAAATGTAGTACCGAAATTATAACTCCCTTAAAATGATAGTATCAATTAGAGATAGTAATCAATTGACCTAAAATAACATTATAACTCAAATACAAAACCGAATATCACGCAGGATTCATAAATTATGCTTTATAAAATGCCTTAACAGAGCAGATTTGTAAACAGAGTTCCAAATAAGCCAGTTTTAAACTTACAGCCTAATTTTAATTAATCAATAAATCAAAACTCAAATAATTTCATGCAAACTAGAGGTTCTCTGTAAGGATATAAAAATTACACCTATTAGCCTCAAATGGTTAAGCCAAAGCTCATGATTTAAGATTTTTACAGGCAAAATCAAACAAACATTTCTAGCATACAAGAATAATTAATGCCAAGAACATTAGCATCTAACTAAAGTTATATTAATGTGTATGAAAAATAAAGATCATAAGGACAATCCATGATTTAACCATAGCCTTATATTTAATCCTTCTAAAACACATTTAATCCATAAAGGGCTCCTGTAAATACTTACCATCATTAAATAAGAGATACTTAATCATAACGAGATAATGCTCGAATACTAGATGACATCTCTACAGGTAGATTTTCCATGAATACTCACTATCAACATCAGAACCAAGTCTAGCAACCAATCAACAACCTGGGGCAAGCCATCAATATCCTCATGAACTGAACTACCATTTATCTTAATATTTTTGAATTTAAACTTGATTGATTATTCTTTAATTAGTATTTTTATGTAGATCAATATAAAGTTAATATTTCTTTTATTTACTTTCACTAATTTTCATTAGTTACAAAGCTCGGGGTTTTGGGGTTTTGGGGTTTTGGGGTTTTGGGGTTTTGGGG